CTCTACTTTGTTTGCAAAGCCTTTGCCAGGAGTTCTTGGGGCACAGGGGTGGTGTTACTCAGAAACGGGAACATTTCTGCCTGGAATAGAGAGAGGTGTGGGTAAAAGGCCCAAGGAACCAACAGGAAGCACAACTGAACATCAACATTTTAAGAAAGAGCGCAATTGTTTTCCTTTGAATTTATTCTGGTATTTGGAGCTCTGTAGGGCTGGATACTTTTCCCTTTGCTTGATTTGAAGTCAGTGCAGCAGCTAATAGAGCAAGTTGTTGTCTTACATGAATAAAATTATCCAAATCTGGCCTAGAGAATGTTGCCTTTAGAAATTATTAAAAATGTTTGATTCTGTGTTTTATATCCTTTTCCTACTGTGAGATTATTTAAGAATATAATTTACAAAATCCTGTGTAAAAGCCCACCATATTATAAGGTAAATATTCAAAGAGAAAACCTGAAATGTGCCAGGTTCCCTTAAATGTGTTTTGTCCCAGTTAAGAGAAGCATTTTTATTTTCTTGTTTTGATTTCAAACAGGACTTTTCTTTGGTGTTAGATTCTCAGATTATTTTTTTTTTTTAGTAATTAATAATGGAGCAGGCATTTAGTATCTACACTGGAAGGTAAAAAATGTTTAATCACAGTAACATCATTAGTGCTTTCAAGCATTTAATTTTGATGCTTGACAAAGCACATAGGCATTGATAAGAACAATAAGTGGTGTTGTGTGCAATTGAAGGAAAAAGAGAAAAGCATGAAAACCCCTAAGCTTCAAGTAATTAAATTTAAATATGTTATTTGAATTTAGCTGAGACAATGTACAAACTGTGGGTATATTTTTCAGTCAGTGAAAGACCCCTTGAGTAAACATAAGCCATTTAAATTCAAATCATGGGGAGTGGAAAGTAAACCCTGCTGTGGTTAAGAAGGCATCTTCAATAAAACACTGGGCATTGTGTATCTTTGATATCTGAGTACTCATGTGTTGTAGTTTTATAAAGGGCTGTTTTCACTCATAGATGCCTACATGCCAGAGACTTTATTGCATCTATTTATTTCCTGCTTTTTTTTCCTCCCCCCCCCCCCCCCCCCCCCCCCCCAGTTTGAACCAGTAATGAAAAACTGACACTCTGCTTTTGCAGTCCTTTAAAGTGCCTCAAAACTGTTACAATTCAGCACTTACTAGCCTTGGGATATGGCTTTATGGCATTTGGGTGAAGTTTTTGTAGTACATCTGTGCTCTTTCCCTCTCTGTAGGCCGCACGCTTAGAACCGCAGTAATAAAACTACTAGTAGGTGTTTAATGGCAGGTTATTGAGGAAGTAGATAAAAGAAAATTGCAACATTCACATCAGTAGGGAGTGGGGTTTTTAAGGGAGAGGAACTGCTGAGCTTTGAACTAAGGAAAGTTACACTTGGTGCTTTTGTTCAAGGGGACCCTCTCAAATACCTTGTCATTCTTCCCTGTGAAATGGGCTGTTCTGGTGGAATTGGTATTTGGTATATACAGTCTGTGCACGTGTGGCAGAAAAAGTTGCCGTTGTAAGCAGTGATCATTGAGAAGCAAGTTTTTGCTTAGTGTTCCCTTCCAAATACCAGCAAGCAGGGAGGAGGAAAGTACAAAAAGTGAAAGAAAAAGTGATCACCCACTCTCATCCAAAAATATTATGTGATCTTATTGCAAACATCTTAATCATGTACATTATTATTTTCAGTCAAGCTGTCCTCAGTATGTTTTTGGTAGGAACGTGTGTATACCATGAACAGTTAGCCCACGCATGTACAAGGGAAGATTCTGTCTTTTTATTCTGCTTATGATCAAAGCATCTTTTTACAACCTGTTACATGTTTATCTTCACATCATCCCTAAGAGGCAGTTTAAAGGCAAAAGAGAGAAGAACAAAGAATGTAAATATTTTGCAGAAGCTCACCCTGTGAAGTCTGTGACTGCTGCCTGTACTGCCATGATGAGCTGGCAGTGGTGATGCACTCTTTGTCCTGAGCAATACTGACAGGACTCTTAGGCTCTTTGGGTAGTATATGTCCAAGAGACCCAGACCTGTTTTTTTTTTACTAGAAGCCCTCTCATGTCAGCTGATGGATCCTGGAAAACAAGGAAATAAATAAACCTGATTCATAGGGCTGTTTACAGATCTGAGAGAATTGGTAATGGAGGATTTTATACATGCAGTGGGATAACCGTAGTACTCCCCATGGTTACTGAGCTCAGTTCTGCAAGATCCAGAGGGCTGCAGATCACTATCCTATTGCGTAGACTGTTATAGGTCTGTGCTGCAGAGATGTCAAATTGCTCCTGGACAGCCTCTTGCAATCATGGTGCTTTGATTTGAATCCTGTAGTTGGACTTCAACACTCTTAGGATTTCTGTATAGCATATGGGGAGACAAGATGTACAATCAAAACAGAAAACCTCAGAAACAAGTTGCTCATCTACAGAATACAGAACAAAAGAAGGGATTAAAAGTTAAGTAGGACGAATTGGCATGTAAAGGACAGGAAGGAAAAAATAGGGCCATTCTTACAATTATAATCATAAGGAGTAACAAAGGAATAGATGTGCAAATCGTCTTTGATCCATCATATCAAAGGAATGGATGTACAAATGCTTCTTGCCTCTTGTCCTGGAGGCCAGGAGCAGGTAGTTTATTCCAGTGTGGTGTAGTGTGTCAGATCAGCTGTCTCTTTTTGAGAGACATGAGAAAGCACTTGTTAAATTACATAAAGCTAAGCATCTTTCACAAGAAGCAGTAGTTAATATATATTATTCTGCTGCAAATAGCCATTTTACAACACAGAAGAAACCCATTTTCATACAGCATGTATCAGCCCAATATTGAAGGACTCACCAAATTCCAGAAATGAAATGGAAAACCAAGGAGGTTAAAAAAAAAGGAATAAAAGTGAACTTTCTGCCTACAATTCCTGAGGTCAGACCAGCATGTGACAGATTCTCAGTAAAAAGAATTGCCTGTCTGCCCTTCATGAGGCACCAATTAACTAAGCATATTTCCCTCTGGTTGGTTTATCAGAAATGGGGTGTGCATGTGTGTGTTTTAGGGTAACAAATGTGTTTTCTAATTTATTTGCTGAGCAGTATTCTTACTTCAGAGTAGAAAAAAAAAAAAAGTCTGATTCTCCTTTGAGGAACTGTGAGGTTATTAAGCAGGTTCTCAGCCGTGCCACAGATATAACTTGATGGAGCACACCTGGATCCTCCCTGTTGGCTGTTTATAGTCTCCCCTGTCACCCAGTATTTGCCTTTGTATGTGAGAGACAAAAAAGGAAAAAAGAGATAAAGGTTTTGGAGGCATTTCTAACAGAGATGCCAGACTGTCAAATAGTAAATCGGGAAGCAGCTCCCTGATGGTTTCACATCAAGAGGAGACACCCTTTTGTGACTGTGCAGCATATACTGGTTATTTTCACTTCCATCAGAACTGTCTGATATGGTCAAGTAAGTTTGAAGCTTTCAACATTCAATTTTCCTTTCATTTATTGTGACTGTTTTATTTATTTGTCTTTCTTGCTAGTTTTCAAGGATATATGTTTCAGGGATACTTTTTACTTTCTAACATTTTCATGGATCATCATCCCCAAGTTAAGGGTAGAAAAAGAAACAAGAAGAAAGGGAAAGGAGGGGAAAAAGAGCAACATGGCTACAGCTTCAGGGGACAAAAGAAAAAATATATTCAATTTAGGAAGACCTCTAATCTCTGGTTATACAGGACAGCTTTGTTAGATAAGATTAAAAATTTCATGAATATCCCTTTTTATCCCTGGAGACTCCACCATTTACACCAGCTATTGTCAACATCAAAAGAGCTTGATAACAGCTGGCTTGAGACGTGACCACACAGCAACACAACAGAAAGAAAGGGGCAGCCAGGTTCATAAATCTTCAGAAAACCTGTTCCCCCAGCACAGCCATGAATCTGCTGCTATCACAGTCAAAGGGAGTATACATTGTCCTCCAGCCAGTCAAAAACCTGAACTTCAGCATTAGCAGGGGCTCTATTGAAACTGTAGGGTGCACAATGAGATGTCTTCCATTATCTTCTTCATTGCAGCCCTTATTACTGCACGTAGATACAGTTTAAAAGATCTTTGAGTTTAGCTTGTTGCTAGGTTTTCTCCCAAAATCGCAGAGCCCTTACCCTTGGCAGTGTATTCCAGCTTTTCCTATTCATAGTATCAATATAGCACCACAGGGGACAGGGTCAGATGAAGTCAGTTTGGTACACAATGAACCAATCTCTGATATCTTCTGAGGAAGGAGCTATCAAAGCCAGAATCTGGCCCTTGGGCACTGAGCTTCCCCATTCTCCAGGGACTGCTCACAGATGCGGACGTAAGCAGGGCGAGTTTAGGGAGCACAAATTGGCTCAGACTCTTGAAATACATTTTCCTGGTTTTCATGGGAGGGTCCAAATTCATGTGTATTCAGCTTTATTCTCATCTTACTTAATTCAGTGGCAATATTTTCTCAGCTTTAGAGAAAACCAGATTAGCCTCTCAGGAACTTCAGAGTTCCTGTAAAGCAAATAGCTAATGAAGTAACATCAGTTAATCTTAGGAGGTGGAAGAAGAGAATGACCACAACAAAAGTATAAGTTTATGCACTGTGCCTAACAAAGGGCAAAAATAAGGCAGAATCTTTTAGTAGCTTAGCCTGTTACAGAGGTTTATACCTGGGCGTCATGAACGTTGCAGTGTTTAGACAACTGTATTATGACTTCAAAACCCACCTGTATAGTATTGCCCAGAATCCAATAACGAACTTTTATTAGAGAGAATTAAATGTGATGCCGTTAGAGAAAACAAGAAAAATACTTAATGCTTCTAATCTCCACACCCCCCCCCAAGAAAAACAGTTTCTGAAAGTGCTCATGTTGTGAAAGCTATGATTAAAAGTAAATTTTCCTCATTAAAACTTGCTTACAATTTTATTTTTTTTATTACTTTGTTTTTTTTTTTATTATGGCAGCTCCATCACCAATTGCTTTGATCCAGGCTAAAGAGATAACGCGGCACAGTGTTGCCTTGGCTTGGCTGGAACCTGACAGGCCAAATGGAGTCATCCTGGAGTATGAAGTCAAATACTATGAAAAGGTACTGTTCAAAAATGGACAAGTAAGGAGGGTTTTTTTGGGGTTTGGGGACAGCTTTTAACTTCATTTCATTGTGGGTTTTTTCCAGATAGGATTCAATCATTTGAAACCAAATAGATTCAGTTTGATAAAATCCAATTAAAGATTTCATGCACTTGAATAGTTGCTTGAAAAGGAAGAATCATAGGCTGTTCCAGCTGTATGGCACGAGTTTATTTTTTTCCCACCTAGGAACTGAGCTTTTGTAGCAAGCATATTTATAATGAGAATCAATAATGCTGTTCAGAAGTGAGACAGTAGCTCATAGAAGTATAGCAATGAAATATATAACACAGTAACAATAATAATATCTGTTTGCCGATAGCTTCCACTTAGAGTGATAGTGTGGGCTGGATGGCTTTTAATAAAGAATAAGGAAAGAAAATTATGTTCTTCATACTTTCCAAGTTGGAGAGAGATGTTATTCCTGCAAATAATTTCTCAAGTATGGAACTATGAAAAGAGCTATTTCTTCAAAGGTTCTTTGTAAAAATGAACAATTACAATTACCTGCTTTTGTTTGCATGTGCTCTCTCTCATATGCACATGCATATTTCGGCATTTTTTTAATAATCACTTATTTGCTTACTCATACATACAGAAAAAGTCATCTGATTTTCAGGGAAGCTAGATTATTATATTTTCTGATGGATTTTTCCAGCCAAAAATAGGACAGTTTTTAAGATTGGACTTTCTGGAAGACATTTTCTAAGTCTTTTTTTCTTGAAGTATTTTTATCATTTTTATTTTTTATATGGCTTCTAACTGGTAGGAAATGAAAGTGCCAGCAAATGTGAGTAGAATGTTGCTTGTTCATCAAGAGGATCCTGTTTGAATGCTTGGCTGTTTTCCAAAGGATTTCATTGTGTGATTTCTTAAATAATCAGTGATATATGAGCATCATACCTACCACCTCATCATCCTTATTTGGCTTGCTCAGAGCTCCATGCAGCACGCAGTGCTAGGGGTGTTGAGCAAGGCCAACAGCAGAAGCCTTTAGGATGTATTTTGAGAATTCCATCATTGTTACTCACCTTCTTTCATCATGACAGTTTTGGCAAGGAAGTGGGGTTCCACAATTCACGTTGCAGTGGAGCATTTTTACTTGATCACCACAGTGTTCTTTTGTTGTTAGGACCAAAATGAACGCAGCTATCGCATTGTGAAGACAGCCTCCAGGAATACTGACATCAAAGGGTTGAACCCTCTGACTTCATATGTATTTCATGTGCGGGCCAGGACAGCAGCAGGATACGGAGACTTCAGTGGACCATTTGAGTTCACAACTAACACAGGTAATAACATGCCCACTGATTTCTTTTGATTTTCCTTGAGCAAAGAGTGCATGTGTGACTGAGCTGTGTGTTTGGAGTTCCTAGTTGGTTGCTTGGACTGTGGTGTGTCTGTTATGGGAAAATGTTCTTAACATGGCCACATGACTGTTATTGATGCCATGAATCTGACCCAAGACACGTATTAGGTACGTTGCATTCTAGATTCTAGCAATGAAAATACTTCACTGTGGCATAAAGAGGCACACATGTTTGCATATGTTTTTTGAATATCTCATCTGTAGGTGAATAGAACCCTCTTACTCCCTTTTGCAAGTTATTGACGTAGATCAGTTAGGTGATCTACATCAACTCAAATAGTTGAACTTTTCTTTAGGCAGTCATATAAAGACAGACTGTTCAAATTATGTTGTCAGTATAGCATTTCGCTTTGCTCAAGGAAACATGTAAATTTAGCCCTCAAAATGTTTGTATTTTGGTGGCAGGAAGGCAATGTGACCAAGCCTATTTTATTTTGGACATACATGTCTGCCTAAATCAGTTAAAGGTCATGCCAGTTAGTGGCAACATCCTTCAGAATGTTAAGCACTGAATATAATCCATCCAAGGGAAAGATGGTGGACGTTTTAAAATAACTTATCACTTTGTGTCAGCTGGGGAGTGATCATCTGGTCCCACTGAGAGAAAAAAAGGAGGAAAGAAAGGTGGAAAGCATTTAGAAAGGCAAAAACCATAGCTGTTATACCCTCTGAGCAACACCGAAGGGGAGAAGGAGAGGGAGTCCTTTTTCTTAGTGAACTGAAGTTCCCCAAGTCATTATCAAACATCATGTCTTCAGCTCATTAGCGCCCTGTTGGAAAATTGTGTCAAATGACTGTATAATAAAGGCCTGAAAGTAGATTTGAGTGCTACTCTAAACTGCCTTCACAAGCCAGAAAGCCTCACTGAGTGCTACCTAGGTTGATTTTTTGAGAGTGTCTGACACTAATGCTCCCTTTTCTGTTTCCAGTTCCTTCCCCCATCATTGGTGATGGTACCAATCCCACAGTGCTTCTTGTTTCAGTGGCTGGCAGTGTTGTTCTTGTGGTCATTCTCATTGCAGCCTTTGTCATCAGCAGGAGGTAAGAACTTAAGCTTCTCTAGCCCTCTCTTTCTTTCATGAGGGAGCTTTTTGTCTCCTCCAAACAAAGCTAAATTCTTTGATTAGCATCATAAACAGTACATTTGCATTACAAGCCTTCTCCCATGTAGCTTTGATCTTCTCAACATTAGTACCAAGCAGTATGTGATGTAATGGCAATAGTTCCAGCTCTATTTTCCCTTCAAATGCAAAGCTGATTCCAATAACTGTCATTGAATAGCAAGCCAGTTAGAGATTTGTGGTTAGTGTAATTTGAAGTTAAGTTTAATGGGTATGGGTACAGTAGATTTTCTTGGACTGACTCCTGATAGGGATTAAACAATTGCACTGTTGTGAACTAAGCCATCAGATGGCAATTCTTGTGGGTTTGGTATTAGTCTGTATGAGTCTGCATTGGTCTTTTGAGTTAGTCCTTCCAATGTGAGTGGGTATGACTGTGAAACATAAGCTACAGTCATTCAGCATCATATGCAGTAACACAGCAGACTGGATTGATGGTTATTTCATCAGAGCAGGACCGTAATCTTCTGTGAAGTACTTATTCTCCCAAATTCAACCCAAGCATCAGGAACAATTCTGCAAATGCAAGGATAGTGTATCAGAAACATAATGTGAGTGTTTCTGTCTTTACCTTTGTGTTTAGTCTCATTTAAAACGATCGCATGATTTTGCTTCAGTGTAAAAGTGATAAAACTGCTTGTATCATTACTGCATCTGAAGCCTGGTATCTGAGGGATGCACATTTTGTCAGTCTCTGTTGATCAGTTTAATGGTATCAATCATAAATGTCCACAAATTCCTCTTGATTTGTTCTCTAAATTGTCTTAAAGGGCAGTTAAGTCACTATGATTATAATATCTAAAAAGTAGGCATGCATTGTTATAGCTTTCTGTGGGTGTTAAACTTGGAGCCTCCATGCTGGCAAGAAGAAAGAAGAGCAGAGCACATGAAAATGTAATGCGGAGAGACAGGTTTATTAAAAGCCATTGCTAACAGAAAATAGCATCACTGAGCTTGATGACTTAATCTCCTCTCTGCTTTTATTGATCACTTTATTATTTAAGGCAGGATTGATAGCAGGATACATTGGATTTCTAATTATGAGTCGCCACCTTGGAGAATTGAGCCTGTCGAGCTGCTTTGAGATGATTCCTTTCACTCCTCCCCCTATAAAAAAAATGTCACTTCCCAAGGCTGATAAACACAGCTTGATGATTAGCCCTCAATGGATCACTTTTTAGAAAATGAAATGTCAGCCCCTTGCCCTCATATTGATTCTCTTTAGTATCAGCCGTAAAGCTGTCAAAGGAAGGGCTGCCTGGAGCCAGGTAGCTGAAAGACTCACTGATGCAGGTGTATGCTCAGCCAGGTCTTTTCACCACTCAGGCTGTCTGTTCAGTTATCTCTGCCCACAAGTGTTCAACTTGGACAAAGACAAGACAAAGAGCAGGTGGGCAGTAGGAACCAAAGGCTGGACCAACCACTGGTGGGAATGGAGATAAAAGTATCCGGGTGGCCATGGGTTCAGAGATGTCCCATAGCTCTGCACTGGTAGGTCTCAGAGAGGCCATGGAATGGGAAAGACATAGCAAGATGAATAGAATACTAGGACAGTGAAACTGCTCTGTGCATACTAATGCATGATGCCTTGCTAATTAATGCCTTTCCTCAATACAGACCTCTCCAATAGCTGGAAGTAGCTCTCAATAAACAGAACCTACTTTAATATTCACTATTACTCTTAATGATGTTAACTGCTTTACCAGTGTAATTTAGAGGTGTGGGCTTTGGGGATATTTCATGATGTTTTTACCCCAGCAGAAGCTAATAGCAAAATAATTATACTTTGTTCCAAAATGACTTCAGATGAGAAAAAGTTTTTCTGTCTCTAGAGTCCCCATGAGGAGGTTTTGTAATCTAGCCATGACCGAAAAGTTATATTTGTACAATCAAACCTGTGCTTTGGCCTGCAGATATGGCCCTTCTGCATCTGTGCGCCAAATGTGGGAACTGGGCATATGCTGCAGTCACTCACTTTTGAGCCCTTGGTTATTACTATTAATTTAGCATTACATTTTTCAAGTCATTGCTCAAATCCAAAAATTCATCTTTACAATGGAATTTGTCAAAGGACTTTGCCTTCAGGCACCTCTAGCTGTTTGGTTCTGTCCTGCGACCACAATGTTTCTGTTAATAAGAGAACTAATCTGCCTAAATGTTGGTTTAAACTTAACTGAGGTTCAGGTGAGCATATCCGTAGAGCAGAGTGCAGGAAGTAGCATGAGTGTTTCTAAACCCTGCCCTACAGGAACCACTGAGTGAAATTGCAGTATCTCAAATAGAGTTTTAAAGTATTTGGGAAAGTGTAAAACAGAAAGACCCACTTTCTAAAAGGGCTTGGGGTAGAGTAAGACGGCCCTACAGAATCCTTGGTCATCTAGAAGTTTCTGTTAGAAATTCTTCCAGTTGATAGACAGGTTTGTCTTCTGCTCCATCTACAGCTGCACACATTTGCTCACCTTTGCTGATGGTGTTGGATCTGGTGCCTAAGCATCGCAGCACTCCAACCCCTCTTTTGTTTGGGGAGAAAGGGAGAGCAGCGCTGTGGCGCCAGGTCCATACTGTTTCACTTCAGTGCCTGCTAACAGCCTCCGTTCAGCCTCCTCTTCATCACCAGCCCCCACCTGTAAATTTGCCTGTGCCTCTGAACCCCATGGTTTCTGAAAGCTTCTCTGTTCTTTTCCTGAATGCCATCTATTTAATCACCACCACCAAAATCCCTGTAATTACGGGGTTCAAGCTTGCGACAAAGGCTCCCTTCTGCCGCTCAGGTGAGCTGCCCCGAGAGGCAGCTCAAGCCCTGCGTGTCCTGTGGTGCGGGGCTCCTGTGCTGCTCTCGGGACAATGGCACTCAGGAGCCTCCTGCCCCCAGCCAAGCAGGAGAGGTCAACAGGTGACACAGGGAGAAGTGGAAGTAGGTAGGTAGTTTGGAAGGTATTATTTAAGCTTAATAAGCTACAATTATATTGCTTGAACAGTAATCCCTTTGTTTCCCTTTGCTTTTTGCATGTCTTTGGGTTTTAGTGGGGGAAGGTTGTTTTTTTATCTGTTGTTAGGGTGATTGTACGTTCAAAAATAAGATAAAAAGCATTTTTCCATACCTAAAATGCATTTGTGCAAAGACTGTTTGTGTTTCATGTTCCCCATCTGTGCCTGAACATTAATAACATTAATTTGAAGGAATCCTGCTTAAAATGCAGATAATTTTTGGTTTGTTTTCTATTTTTTTCTTTTCTCTGAGAGAAGTTGTATAATACTTGAAGCAATCTCTGCAATCCCCTTAGCTGCCTTGGTCCCATATGGCACTGGGTGAGATATGTGCTGCCTCTTCCCTCTTATTCAGTTCAGTAACTGGGAGCAGAACATAGTCCTTTTATTTACCTCAGCACTGTTATACCAGTGCTGTAAGTCTTCAGGCAAATAAATGGTTTAAATTGATGTTTGGATTTAGTGTGGTTTTTAATAATGCTTTTCTTGTGATTTGGAGCCATTTGTGTTTAATTGACTTTCATCAAGAAAAGAAACTCCCAACCATTTATGGTTGGATGTGTACCTGCTCTTTATGTCTGAATGCAAGTGACATTGATGTTGTTGGGAGCTGTGAGGCTTGGTTCAGAGATCAGGTAACCTTCACGTGTCAAACAGGATTTTATATTTTCCCCCCTTCTCTTTCATGGTTAATTTGTAGTTTTATTATTGGCATAGTGTGTTTTAACACCCAGCACTGAAAGACTGTGAAGAGCAAGGCTGGGAAATGGCCTTTCAGGTGGCAGCAATGGGAATCTGCCATTCCCTGAAGGCCAGGCACAGAGTGGGAAGTGAAATGCTTTCTGCTAATGGGCACAAAAGTTTTGCTGACGGGAGGGGAATGATGAGACTCTGGAAGATTTGCTGCAAGTGAGGCTCTCAGTCATGTGTTTTCTTCCTGTCATCCATGAGGTTTTGTCCCCTTTTAACTCATATCTGCTGATAGGTCTTTCTCTCACCAACTCCCATTTTCCTCCTCTACCCATTCACCATTTTCAGACTTCTAACCCAGTCTCACCCCAGTGTCCCTGGCAGGCCTGGTCATCTGCTACCCTACTCCAGGCAGCAGGTTGTACATTTCAGGCAGTGCCAGTCTTGCCTCCTGTGCTCCAGGCTTGGTTTCTCCTTCTGCCTTCCCTCTTGTTCACTCTAGTCCAGACTTTTACAATTAGCTAGCCTGGGTCTGACATGCTGGAAGACTTGGACTTCCATAGGAGCAGGCAAACTGAGGAGTAAGCAACAATAAGTGCTTCTCTTGGGCAACGTCTGTTCTTATGTCTGATTCTGAACTTTCAGTGAATGATGGGTAAAAGCCCACATCAAAGCTCTACATCTATATACCAGTAGATGCTGGGGAGCTTTAAATCCTGGTACACATTTGGCTGAGCTGACTCTTCAATATCTTCCCTAACAGACTAACTTCCTGTGTTAACTTTTCTTAATACCACTTATCCATTGAAATTTAAAGCTGAATTAATTAAATACATAACTGGATACAATATCATGTGTGTAGGTATAGAAATAGTGATCTGTATAATTAACATACTATACTAGAGGGCTAGTAGAACAGCCCTGCCATGAGAAGCATTTTGGTCCCCATTCACTTATACAGTGATTAAGAGAATAAATAAAATCCTTGGGATCTGCATTGTTTGGTGGTCAGGGTTTTTTCTTTTTTTGCTGCCATCCTGATTTCTGTGTTAATAGACTTATTTTCAGTTTTAAATATGCAGTCAAGTAAATATGCTGGTATTGGTATTTGCGTAATTGCATTTGAAAATCAATCTACCAAAACACCTTTGTTGTAGCATTTAAATCCATATATGATAGGGCTAAAAGCTATTTGGCCCTTTTTTGCTCAGAATTGCAAATATACGTTTGAAGAAAAGGTAGCCAAAACACAGGCTTTCTTTTCTTTCTTTAAATGCCGAGATGCAAAATAGATTTGTGTTTCCCTTAATGCTTTGTTGATACCAATAACAGAGCAGTTTGAGGAGTCTCCTACCCTTCTGGTAAGTGTATGTTGTGTCATGAGCTGTTGTAGGGGAGCTGCTGAGCACAGGTCGTGGCAGGTGCAAATAGCTCAAGTCTCAGCAGGTCAGGAAGACTGAACTTGCCTCAAAGTGAGATACTTGGAACTGTAATGGTCTGTTTTGTTCCGACAGGCGCAGTAAGTACAGTAAGGCTAAGCAAGAGGCAGATGAGGAGAAACATTTGAACCAAGGTAAAAGGCAGAGGTGCTTGGGTTTTTTGATTCGGTTTGTAAAATATGTCTCATGTTCTGATGCTTGTGAAATAAGGGATGATATTCCTCTTAGGATAATATGTTTCTGTTTGCTTGTCTTACAAACATCCTTCTTCAAAAACACGTGCTTTAGTAACAGGAAAAATAGGAGTATCTGGGTAAAAGGTTTTGAGTGGGCAAACAGGAAAAAGGTTCATCAATTTTTTCTGTTGTTCCTTTCCACTGAAAAACATCTCTTCCTGGCTAGTGATACCTAAGCTAGATTTTTTCCCCATAATACTCTGCTAAAGAAAGCAGTTTTGGATGGGTTAGAGGCAATCTTGCAGGAAAGGGAACGTGAACATTGCTGCCTTTTTTCCAGGACTGAATCCTACTATTATTTCCATCTCAGTCGTCCAGCTATCAAACCTAGGACCAAAATTCAGAATTTCTTGGCTTCCAAAAAGGAAATGGGATGTGTTTTAGTCTCACAGGTCCGTAGACAGGCTACTGGCCTGTTAGGGATGGCAGTGATTTGTGAACCTTATTTATCGGCAAAAGCCTGATCCCTTATATCAGTATTAAATATTAAATATTGATGTAAGGAAATATTAAGTGTTTACATTTAAAAAAAATCACACTGGAGGAAAAATGCATTAAGTCCTTCCTTCATCAGTCATTCCTGGCTTACAGTACGTTTTTATTGTACACTCTCTTTGCTGTTGTATATCATTAAGGCTTCAGTCTCATATGTTCTGTGTTTAGCAGCATGTAGATCAGTGACTTCAGATAAAACATTTCTGCCTTGCAGGTGTTAGAACATATGTGGATCCTTTTACATATGAGGATCCAAACCAAGCTGTGAGGGAATTTGCCAAAGAAATTGATGCCTCCTGTATAAAGATTGAAAAAGTTATTGGTGTGGGTAAGTGCCAGAAGTTTTGCTTTTTTTTTTTCTGTAAATATGCATTTAAATTTGCTTTTAGAAAACTTGGGATCCTGTGATTTTTGTATGACAGTTCCCCCAAATGTACTGACATAACAGTTTGACAACACACAAATGCGTGTTTCATGTTCATGACCATGGATTCTTGTGCCTTTTTTCTTAAGGAGAATTTGGTGAAGTATGCAGTGGACGTCTCAAAGTACCAGGAAAAAGAGAGATCTGTGTTGCTATCAAGACTCTAAAAGCTGGTTACACTGATAAACAGAGGAGAGACTTCCTGAGTGAAGCCAGTATCATGGGACAATTTGACCACCCCAATATCATCCACTTGGAAGGTGTAGTTACTAAATGTAAGTAGGTCATTTTCATGACAAGGCCAATTTGAAAGTCACTGAGAAATTAAGTCTGCGATGGTGTGTGCTGGTTCTTTTTTTCTTTTTACCCTCTTTCCTGGGAAATGACAGATGGAACAGATCCACTGATAGCTAATAGGAGGAAATCAGTGCAGGACAAGTCATTAATCTTGTTGTCAGCTATAAATGGGTTTATGGCTTCAACTGATATTCTATCCGTAGGAAACTTGTATGTGATTTTGTAGGGGGAATTAATACTGCAGGAGTTGCCTTTTTTTTTTTTTCTTTTTCCTATGCCAAGCAGGCATCTTTCACATCTTCACTAGGCTGAGCTGATTGTTACAGGATAGGCGAAAGCAGATGGTGAGCAAAGAATTTAAAATGGTCTGGGGAAAAATACCAAAACAAAAATAGTCATATGTTTAAGGTACAAAGCACAGATGTAAGGAGCAAGCCTTTGAAATGAAGTAGGGTGTTTTAGTGTGAAACATGCTTATTTGTTTTCTGAGTTACAGGTGTGATAATTCCACTCTGCAGAATTTACCTGGCCGATCTTTTTGTTTGTTTGGTTGGGATTTTTTAAGTCTGTTAGCATGCACTGTGCCAGGAACCCTGCCTTAGAAAGAGAATGACAGTGCTTGCTGTATGCTCTTGGTAGGCTAGAACTGAAAATACAACTGGGAGACAGATGTGTTTGGGTCTGACTTGATAAGGTGTCACTGCGATAGTGTAGTTATTGTCCCTACTCCAACTGCCCTGCGTACCATGTTGGCAAAGCCTGGCACTGATGGGAAATCTTAAAAGACCATTTGAATGTAAAGGCTCATGCTCAGGGTAGCAAAGAAAGCAGTCATCTTGTGAGCTGCTGTTTAAAGGGTGGAATTTGTGAAGCTTACATTCTGCAGCTAATAGTATGCATGATAAACGTGAATGGAAGGTATTAATAGTGTGAGGAATTGAAGTTAGATATGGATGCAAAGTTAAAAAGTAAAATACTAGTGTAAAGTATCTCCCATACGGGGTTGTCAAAGCTATCAATACCACTGAAAAATCCTGCCCCTCTTGAACGCCATTGGGAGCGGAATGCTTACTCTGTCACTTGCGTTTTTAGAAAACTTACCCTTGTTCATTTGACCATCATTTACTGAGGGCTTCCCTCCAAACTGAAATGAAAAGATAATAGTCTGTTTGAATTTTTAAGGTCTGAGTCTTTCTTTCTGTTGCTCTTGTTATAAAGGGGGGGTGGTTGTGGTCAGACCACCATGTTTTCTATGGACTGTAATTTTTCTAGCACCCTTGTAAAAGAAAGGCAACAGGAGAATCTTTGTGTTGAAATCCCATTAGGCCAGAACCCCCTGAGCTATTATAGCTCTAACAGTTATAAATGACTATATGCATCTGCATAATGCAGTTGTCACTGAATTCAAATGATTTGAAATTTTCACCGAGGAGGTGGTAGCCTGACCTGAGAACATTTCATTGCCTGGCTTGCAGTAAGTGATGCTTCTGCAGCAAGTCATCTTAGTTACCTCAGAGCTGGTGTGTTTGGTAAACAGGGCTACTTAAGAAGACATTTATCTCAATTTCTCCATAGGTTTTCTGAATGCTGTGATAAATGACTGTATTTAATAAACTGAAAATTAAAGTGTGAGATAAATAGTTGTGTAGATGGGAGCTGGGAGAAGCAGCAAAAACTCATGAATACATTATTGGCTGCTAGTCAAGTACTTTAGTAATTGACTCACTGATGGTAACTTCTCTGTCTATCCCCCTCCCCTGATAAAAAAGTGCCTGAGTAATGAAATTACATGTTAATGCACTGAAAGAGTCTCCCTTTCTTCCTTTCTTGACATAGTATCTTTTGATTGAGGGAGGTTAATTAAAACTCATTTAGCTGTATTTGTTCAGTGGAAGGGTTCCGGTCACAATTGCAAAGGATAAATGAGGATATATGCAGATTTGGATGGAGTTTTTCTTTCTGCCAAAGAAGGCCCCCAAATGTGAATTAAAGGGAGAACGATGTTTTATCACATCCCTTTCCTTAATGGTGCATATACTCATTCAAGGTTACTAAGCCCTTCATCCAGAGCAGTGTAATTTAGGCAATGCCATCACTTCTCTGCTGCGCTCATGCAAATCAGAAGGGGTTCAGTTGCCAGACTGGCATTTCACAGGCATACCAGTTTGCATGGGACCAAAACAGTTACAGTTTTGATATCAGTTGGGAGGGAAGGGGAACCAGGAATAGTAAAAGGCCTGTAAAGAATTAAGTTGTGACTGAAAAGGTGAAATAAGTAATGATGAGTGAAATAAGTGATGTGTTGCACATGGATGTTGGCCTAAGTAAAATTATGTAAAATTTTCAGTACAGTCAGTCAGTATAGAATATTGTTTTGTAATAAGAATAAAAAAAAAACAAAACCAGATTACTTTAAAACCAGAAATCCCTGACAAATGAAGAGAAAAACATCTTGGTGAAAAACACACTGAGGTAGAAATGATTAGGAGAGCTTTCAATGCTGCAAAATTCCATAGTAGGGTAATTTTCACATCTGGATGTTCTGGAGCAGGTACTTGCTGGTGAAAAATGCAAAGAAAAGTTGAGTAGTTCTGATACCTCTGATGCTAACACAGAATTAAGCTATCTGCAGTCTAGGTGACATATCCACTCAACCCTTCTTTTCCCATAATGTTCTGTTATTCAGAGCTGCTCTAGGAAGTGCAAAAGCAGAGTTTCTCTGGGACACTGTCTTTTATTTAGGAAGAAATTCTGTAGTTCCTGTAGCTAAAGTGTAACTGGGAAGAAGGGTTGCCATCCCATCCTGGCACTCATCATCAGGTGCTCCCTTGGCTTCAGGTGGGCTTGACAGTGCTCATCTTGGGACCAGGCGTGTGTTATTTGACCTCTAATAGTCACTTATCTACAGCTCCCAATGCTGACTTTTAGAATGGAGATGATATTGGACCTTTTTCTGCAAATATCTATCTAGGTGCTGAATATCCAGCTTGATTTAGCCCCATGAAATAAATAGTGTTACTTATATATACCTAAATGTTTTCAGTTTCAGTGGTATATGACTTTGGAAAGCTCTTAAAGGCAACATCAAGCATTATTTACGTATTTGCTGTTGTTTTACGCAGGAGAGTGCCCAGAAAGCATCCCCATGTCAGTAACATTGCATTACATTTCTCTTCAGATCGCCCAGCTTGGCTTTCTGTATCGCAGCATGGAAAGCTGAGTGCTGCTGAAGCGCTATGCCTGTGTGACACAATTCATTGAATCATTTATCCTGTGGTTGACTTCATGAGGCAAATGGCTTTGGCTCATTTATAAATAACAAGAGACACTGAATACAAATTCAGGACAGAAAGTTGAGAGGAACAGCCTTTATTTTTCATTTTTGAACCCAGTTGTCTTGGAATACCTTGTAGCTGCTGACAGCTTCTAACTCGCCTAAAGCGTTGATCTTTTGAAAGAGGCAGAGACCAAAGTATTCACAAATTCCATTTTGAAAGAGAACGGCTTTCTAGTCTGCAAGCAATTTAATTACACTAAAGATATTTGTCAAGTTTGAACAGATCTTTATTTCTTAGCTCTCAATTATCAATTCATAAACTCCTTAGAGAACAGGAGCCACTTTAGTTAAAGACCTTGTCAATGAGCCAACCAAAGGGTTAACCTTCCAGATGGGGCCCTTTGAATGTTTCTGTCCTGTAATATTTCTTCTCTTGCACCCCACAGCTGAGGCATAAGCTTGGTGCTTTTCAAATTAAATTAGATTGTGTAAGCCAGGTGTCTTGGCAGTAAAATCATGTGCAACCCATTTTTATCCCATTAACATCAGTGTTCATCAAGGAATTGTGTTTTTCTTTCTGTGAACTCTAGGTAAACCGGTAATGATCATAACTGAGTACATGGAGAATGGCTCCTTGGATGCCTTCCTCAGGGTAGGTGATTTCTTCATAATAAGCTAAGGAGATTTTGTACTGGAGACATTTTCTGGTCTTCATTCTGAGTTGGTATTTTTTTGCAGAAAGATACTGAAAATTCAGCATTTTTAAAGGAGATTATGTTTGAACTTGGGAAATTTCTGTTTCCTGGTGTTGCCTCCCTCTACTGAAAACCAGAATAAATGTAAAGTGGAAGAATATAGAATAAACATATTTTTTTTAAATAGCAGGGTCTTAAATAATCCATGTTTAATGGAAACAGTTCTGATTTGCTCCATTTTTGAAAACATTGCAATGACATAGACTCATTAAAACCAGATTCATTGCAAACTGGATACTGCATCACTGGAAGCTGTGAGGGAACCTGAGTTTTTACTTTGCTGGTGAATTATAGACAGTAGTCAGGAGACTGAAGAAATAGCTTTGTATTTTATTCGAGAGAAGATGGGAATCCAGAGATAGGCTCTTTGCCAATTTCAGCAATGGCAATAATGTACCTTTTAGCTTAATGCTCTGTGATTTTCTTCCTTTCCCCATATGCAGAAGAATGATGGCAGATTTACAGTCATCCAGTTGGTGGGGATGCTTCGTGGCATTGGCTCAGGAATGAAGTATCTGTCTGACATGAGCTATGTGCATCGGGATCTAGCTGCTCGAAACATACTAGTCAACAGCAACTTGGTCTGCAAAGTGTCTGACTTTGGCATGTCCCGCGTCCTGGAAGATGACCCTGAAGCAGCTTATACCACACGGGTAAGGAGGGAAAGAAAACGTCCAGTGGGTTTTGTTGCCTGCATATTGGTTTTGTCTGACTGTGTAGGAGGTGACGATGGTTTGTTTAAAATAATCTCAGTCACAATGAAACCTATATCATGACCTAAAAATAAACATTGGCCCAGACTCCATAGCTTGTATAAATTAACGTAGTGGTATTGCTACAAGATCAGTGGCTACATTGGTATTTCTTCTGTGAGGATGTGACCTATGTATTCCTCTGGTTTCTTCAGTGTGCTGGAGTGTGTGACAGGAACCTGATGCCAGAAATTAGAGCTTAGGCTTCTATTCCTTCTGATATCTACAGACACGTATAATGATTTCCAAATGGCTAGTCCCACTGAGGTTTGATACAGCAAGTGTATAAAACCCCGTAAGTCCATCTTTTCCCCATGGCAAAGCTAGTCATAAATTTGACCTAAATAATTTGGACTGGGGAAAGTGTGAAACCTGCATTCCCATTTTTTTGTTTCTTTCACATTTATCTATATTTCAGCATTCCACTGTTAACTAATTTTGCTAAAGCCATTTTAATATGCTGCATGTAGAATAATGGAATAATATAAGTACCTCTGGCCACAAAACAGTATCCTGACTGTTACCAGCCTTTCAACCAATACCTCTGTAATTAACATGCACATGAAGGGAAAAAAAAAAGTCAGAGTTTATAAAGTCTCCTTTTTTAATTGCTTATTTTTTTCAGTTTTAAATATCTGCCATTCTCCATCTGTTCTCCCTAGTGCAGGGTTTGTTTGTAGCACTCAGATTTTGCAGTTTGATCCCAACACTCATCCTTTAATGGATTCACAGTTCGTTACAGGGAAGAATAGACTCCTGTAGTATTAAATGCTGGCCAGCCTTGGTATTTCTCACTCATAAGGGTGGCAAGTGGAAAAAGCAGAAGTCTGAAAAGCTGTATTCAGGGAAATCAAAGTTTAGACGAACACACAAGGGCAAGACAGAAATGATTGAAAAGCTTCCCTTTGAATTTAGTGACTGGAGATATAGTATTATGTTTGCTCTTGAGAGTAAACTACAGGGAATCAATGACATTTACTTTACAGTGCGTTGTCTTCCTTTGGTATCAGTAATGAAGGATCAGGAAAATTTGGATGAACTCCACTGTACTTGAGCAGCTAAGTAAAAAGAGCTTATTGAAATTTTTAGAATGACAACCACATATAAACAATGTCCATGCATCTGTGTCTGAAAGGAGGAATAGAGCTTTTTCATAAGTAGAAACAATGCAATAGAATGCAATTTTTAAACTGTCTTTTTTTTTAAGAGATGGTGTGGTGTGTTCTCCGCCCCATTAGTAGTTTAGAGTATCCTATAGCCACACGAGGCTATACTGCTTCAGCCTGATTCACCAAGGTCCTGATTCAGAGGGCAAAGAAGACATGAGAAGGACCCTTTTTCATTTCACTTGGCTTTGGAACAAGTCCATATTAAACACTTGAGAGAGATATTAGAACAATAAGCCATTGAGTATGCACAGTTATGGATAAAAACTATCTAGAAGATTGCTGAGAAAATATCTACCAAAATAAACTTAATCAAAAAAGCATAAAAGCAAATGAAAGAACCTTAAAACCTTTGTTCAGTTTAAGTCGGTCCCCAGATGGAACTGCAGGAAACCAAAAGCTCAATTAAAAACACCTTGCATATTAGCATAAACAAAAGGAGAAATCTCTGGCCTGTGATCACTCAGCTAAGGCAAAATCAGATAAACAGGATGGAGTGAGTTCCTTTTAAAACAGTGCAGGACCTCAGTGGCCCAGATCAGATGCCCAAGTGTTTTTGTTTGCTTAAAAAGAACTATTGCAATGCGAGACTGCTCTCTCCAACAGGTATTAAAAGCAGCTTTGTGCCATGATCTGGTGTTGAGCTCCTCCCATGGGGACTGGGAGAGCCCAGAGGCTTGCTTGCTGTCTCACGTCTCTGGTAGGAGTTGGGATATTGCCCATGGGAAACACCACAGTATTCATAAATCTTCCCAGTTTATCCTCTCTTTATTTTACCTTTTTGAAAAGTAAAACGTTTGTAATCCCATTTTTCTGAAACAGGCCAAACAGGTCAGACAGGCAAGCAAGGAAATAGTAATTAACAGCCAGCATGTACTTATTTGTTTTGTCATCTAAATCTCTAATATATACTTTGTAAAACCCCTGGCTTGTTCTCATGCTTCATCATAGCCCTAAGCAGAGATCTCTTAGAGGGCTGATAAAAATACATTTAACAATTTACTGGTTCGCCTCCTTGTGACTAAAGAAAACAGATGGGCAGCATTGCCTCCTGGTTGGATCTGACAGTTTTATGGCAAGAAGATTAAAAAGTGATGCCTTTTCAAGAAGGATTCTGGAATTGCATACAGAAAATGATTTTGTGTTCTTAATGGCAGCGTAGAACTGTGTCAGGCCCATGCTTTACTGTGTCACTGACTCACTAGCCCGTGGTTTCTTTTATTTGTAACAGGGTGGCAAGATCCCCATCAGGTGGACTGCACCAGAGGCAATTGCCTACCGTAAATTTACATCAGCTAGTGATGTGTGGAGCTATGGCATCGTCATGTGGGAAGTGATGTCCTATGGAGAAAGACCTTACTGGGATATGTCCAATCAAGATGTGAGTCTCTGCCTGAGCTTCCTCTTCTTTTTTCTCCCTTTCCCCCATGCCTTTATCTTTGTTGTTAGATGTCTGCTAATGTGTTTCAACTGCTGTATGGTTATAAGACATTTACTCTAGGCTTTTAGAAGGATATAATTAGTGGTAGATTCCTGTTTTCTCAGGGAACTTCTCTGGAGCTGAGACTTTCTTGAATATTTCAATCCTGGTCTATGGTCAGGCATTAGGGAATTCTTAAGTTAGGGTCTGTAACTTATGCATCTCTCTTTTCTCCTTTCTTTTTCCCTTTTTTTTTCCCTTTTTTTTTTTAATATATATTAGGAAAAATATTACAAACAATTGAAGTAAAAAAGAAGAATGAAGAAAAAGGAGACAAATATGTCAGATCTTAATACTGCCAAGAGAGGGAAGATTTGAATGTTGATATTAAATCTCAACTTTATTGAAAATCTTTAAGAAAAACCACTTTAATTTAATGGGGCTTCGTATTAGTAGTTAATTCTTCAAGCCCCAGTGCACTTGTAATTTCTTCCAGATGATTTTATTTCTTGTAGGATATCTAAAACAACACATATGAAATCCAATTCTGATTATCAGTCAGAGCATCCTTGTGACAATTGCATAGCTGCCCCCTGAGGACATTAAAAAGCAGCTTTCCTAAATGACCATTCTTAAATTATGCATGTCCTGTTTAACCATACCATCTGGACTACTTCAGTGTATTCCAAGGGGAAGCATGTACAATGGCTGCTATTCTAGAAGAGTATTTAATAATAATGCTAATAAGAGCTTTTGCTAATAGAATTTTTATTAAATGAAAAAAAAATAAATCCCAGTGAAAATGAGGCATAGATTATCCATAATTCTTTCCCAGGGGATCTAGAAACATATAAAGGAAGAAGAAAATGTGAATCTGAATATATGGTCATGGGAGTGGTTAAGTCATTTTACAAATCATCTGCTTTCTTATGTGGAGCTGAACATTTTCAAAGAGTGTCTAGATGTGGATGGCATTTAATCTAAATGGGGGATATAATTTTAATTTCCTTCTGATGTGAACTGTCTCTTCTGGCACCCAGTCTTGCCTTCCTTTGCTAACAGGAAGTCATCAAGATTTAGCAAGAAAATAAAACACCAGATGTGTCTCAGTTATATCAGGCATGTCTACACTGCACAGTGGAGCTCAATGCAACCAACACATAACTAGCATATTAGGCTGGTATACACTGCTAACATGTGGTGCTACACCATGCTAAAAAGCTGGCTTGAACAGGACAGTGAAAGCCAGGATTACTGGCTTTGCATCCTCTTTTTAATACATGGCATAGACATACCACTTTTTTTTCTTCTTAATGATGTTGAGAGTAGTGTTATTCACAACAAAGCAGAAGTGACTTTCAAGTTATTCTGTGTTGAATCAAGAGAAATCAAAGGATCTTTATGCTTTCTGGAGTAGTGAGAGCCACTTTGTTTGTAGTTACTGAATAGCTGCTGTTAGTACAAGCATATCCCTCACCCTGTCCTCCCAGTGGATTTTAGCCGCTAATTGGACAAGAGCAGAACAAGGGAATTAAGTGCAGTTCAGTGTCATGGTGAATCCTGCTAGCAAAGTCATATCGATTAATTAAAAACTGAAGGCTTCTGGGTCATACCAGAATTGAGTCCTGGTCACATCCCATTCTCCTGAGAGGGCTAAGAAGCCATTAGAGTACTGAGCTCTGGAGCCCTTTTTGGAGGGTTTGAAATTGCTTCAGCTTGTGAGTTTTTCTGGTTTCTATTAAGTGTGAATTGCATACTTCAGTTGCTGCATTGGCCTTCTGAACATTCTTGATAAAGCTGCACAAAAGGGTTCCCATCTCTGCATTTTTTGGCTCACAGCATAAAGTGCTGAGAAAACAGGTTCAAGGCCTGTATTGCTGACAGAGAGGAGAGGGACAAGGGGTTGATCTACTGTGTCCTAAAAGTGATGGGGAAAACTTCATCTTCAACATATGGCACCCAGAACTCTTGGTTTTCCAACCCTCTGTCCCATAAAGATAGTTGCTTAATTCTAACCTGGGCTATTTTGTCACCCTTGTATCCCATGTGCTTTCTTGTAAAACATTGCCCTGCTGCGTGTCTGTTTTGGATGCTGTACCCTTTTAGTTTTGAATTGCTGAGGAGAAACAACAGTTCTGAGACCACCAACTGCCTGAGCCTGAGTGCCATTTTCCATGTTGTTCCACTTAATTGTGGATTTGTTTCCATACTTTGCATTGCCCTAGGATAAATGATACTCAGCTGGTAGATTTGAGTAGTGTCTGATGTTCTCTAATGTCTTCCTAATTGTGCCATTTATAGGTTATTAAAGCCATTGAAGAAGGATATCGGTTGCCACCCCCAATGGACTGCCCCATTGCTCTCCATCAGCTGATGTTAGACTGCTGGCAGAAGGAACGCAGTGACAGGCCTAAATTTGGACAGATTGTCAACATGCTGGACAAACTCATCCGCAACCCCAACAGCCTGAAGAGGACAGGCAGCGAGAGCTCCAGGTCAGCTGTGCTTTTGTAATGGAGATGTATGAGGGAGCATAGTGGAAATGACAGGCAAAGCTGCATGTCACCTAAACCTCTGTGCTGGGCTTAATGTGTGCTCTGTGGCTCTGCAGAGCCTGACTGTGCACAGTAGACATAGCACCGTGTAAGAGGGCAAAGGGGTCTTGCTGGCACCCTGCTGAACCCCACTGGGTATCCCTGACCCTCCTACCTCTGTGAGAAGGAAAGTGGAATGAGCAGAGCTCTTCCTGTATCACACCAGGTTCAGAGAACAGTCTTAAACAAAAGTTCTGATGTGGGCAAGCTCAGTTTGAAGATGAAGTTTGCTGCATCTTTTCCCTCTTCCCCCCTAGTGAAGGGGCTTGGAAGGGTAGCCTTAATGCAGTGTAGCTGACAGGAATGATGTGGTTTTCTGCATGAAAAGTACATCATCAAGTTTTGTAAACCCTAGATTTGTGTAGGATTTGCAAATGAGCATTACGGCATTACAGCCAACGCCTTGCGGGCATTGGGAAGGTGTGGATTAATTTTTATGTGAATTTGAATTTAATTTTGTGGAAAGCCAGTTTCATGTCTCCACCGATCCCGCATTACATTGGTGTTTTGTTTTGTTTGCTAAGCACAGTATACCTGCTACGTGCGAAAGAAGTGCAGTAGGAAGGAAACTCCCAGAGTTGTAGGGTAAAACCAAAACATCTTTGTTGAGACAGATCAGCAGTTTGTTTAAGCTGGTGAAACACTGCTGAAGTAATAGGAGCTTGGCTAATTTACACCAGGTTTATTTTTTTCAAATGCCTGTGCTTTGTCAGGTAGGTTTACTTGCAGCAAATATGGAAAAAAGCTTGAAAGAAAAAAAACGACAAAGATAATGGGAAAATATTTTTCAGTAGAAGGGAAGTTATAAAAATATCCACAGGGTAATACCGGGTTAAGTTTCTTGAATCAGTGAAGGAGAACACAAGTTCTTCTTTAGCCTCCAACAGAACAACTTCCTGGAAAAAGCTATTTTTGTTTTTAAACCTGTAGGTCGCATTGTGAATTTTCCTTACAGTGTAGAATATCAGAAGAGGGACTATTAAACCTATGAGACCCATCACCACATTATCTCCAGATTGCCCTAACTGCATTGGTAGCCTGGCAAAAAATGTATCCACCCTTGAGACTTAAATAATTTACATGGTGAGAATCACATTATGATCTGCTGTGATAATTTCATTTGAGAATCACAGCATGATCTCCTCCATTTTGCTTTCTTTCCAGTTTACAGGTGCTCTTTGAAAATACATAGATTTTACAAAAAATAATAACCTGTTCAAGATCATTTCTTGTTCATGGCTATTTATAGATCTTTATTTTTCTTCTCATTGGAATATGAATTTCAAATATACATATACCATTATTAATATACAATTTTATGTGTGGAGCATAATTGCATATAATTAGGTTGCCATCACTGGTCTTATGTTAGATAGGACTTTAAAAAACTTGTACCAAGTAGTACCAGCATGTACTGGGTGCCTTAGGCAAGACATAACTGTGCTATTGCACATCTAATCTTTGATAATATGCATTTTCAAATAAATTGCTAAATTATATTTGTTTTGGTTAGATATATAGTAATTTATAATGGTTTAATGAAACTGTGATTTACAATAGATGTGGAATAATGAGATACTAAGAAGCAAGTTTGGTAAAAATAATTATTCACAAATCTGTGGAAGGGAAAATAAGAAGCACATGGCACAGTGCAAACAAAGATCAAAGCTTGCATGATTCCCGCCACTTCTGGCACACGCACTGGTCAGGAATGGATTGATTAAAGAGAAGATTAACTCCCTGCTGTCCTGAGTTTGATTGAATGCCCTGAGCTTGCCTGCAAACCTGACTGGAAACAGGATTTATCTGAACCTGCCCTGAGTTTTGCCCTCCAAACCAGTCTTGGCAGGTTGTGAGCTCCCAGTTCCTTTGCACATACTTCAGTAGTGTTTCTATAGTTGCTGAGGTCTGACACATGCAGGATTGGCAAGGTCTTGCATTGGTGCCTGTGAGATACAGACTCAGTAGGCTGAACGCCTTCCAGCATTGCCATCTTCTTTTTTTTTTGAAGTAAAAGCATTTTCTATGAACTTTGTTGTATCTGAGGTGGAAATCGTAAGTGGCATTGTGGTTCAAATTAGATCTGAAAGCAAAAATAGAAACCTAAGGTCAAATTCATTCTTAGCAAAATTTGGCCCATTACTTTGTATTTTGTGAAGTTTCTTGCATTGATGTACATTGCTGTTCAGAGAACCACCAGTTTCACTGAGCACAATGTCTTGTCCTTACTTTCTCTAATCATTGAGGATAATTGTTTCAGAAACCAAGCTCTTTTTTTGCGATTCATGATCCAGTTGACACCATTTCTCTGTCCTTTCACTGTTTGGCATCCAGACCTAACACAGCCCTGCTGGATCCCAGCTCCCCTGAGTTCTCAGCGGTTGTTTCTGTCAGTGACTGGCTCCAAGCCATTAAAATGGAGCGATACAAGGATAACTTCACAGCTGCTGGCTATACCACCCTAGAGGCTGTGGTGCATATGAACCAGGAGTAAGTACTCAATGATATAATAAAAAAACTGGTAAATCTGGATTTAATCAACCTCTTTTCCTTTGTGCTGCATATCATTACACTCATTAAAGGAATGGAATGCCTTTCATTTGGATGGAGAATAACTTTAAAATGCCTCCATAATGCCCTCACTTATTTAATTAAACATTTCTGTACATCTGCCTTGCTTTTGCTGTGTTGCTTGTGGTTGACTCTTAATATTCTTCTCTGCACCAGCATCTTATCCACAGTTCTCAGCCCCCTACTTCTCTTGCTTTCCACAGTGACCTGGCGAGGATTGGGATCACTGCCATCACGCACCAGAACAAGATATTGAGCAGTGTTCAAGCAATGCGCACCCAAATGCAGCAGATGCACGGCAGGATGGTCCCCGTCTGAGCCAGTACTGAATAAACTCAAAACTCTTGAAATTAGTTTACCTCATCCATGCACTTTAATTGAAGAACTGCACTTTTTTTACTTCGTCTCCTCGCCCTTCGAAATAAAGATCTGCAGTATTGCTTGATGTACAGATTGTGGAAACCGACCGTGTGTGTTGGGAGGGGAGCCTCCAGAAATGACAAGCCGTCATTTTAAACGAGACCTGGAACAAATTGTTTCTTGGAACATACTTCTCTGTTGATCAACGATATGTAAAATACATGTATCTATATAAATATAAAGTCACATTCAAGTTTTGATGCTATGTTTGCTGCCAGATACTGTGCTTAAAAAACAAAACTGAAATTATTTTCTTTCTCCCTATGACCCGTAGGATTACAACCATAGTGTTTTATTTGTGGGTGAAACCACCGTTGTGCATCTTTCACTGGAATGAAGACTCTGCCCTTGGATATTTTTTGCAGACTTGATGCGTCACTAATACCTTGCAGAAACCTCAGTGAGAGTATCATTGGGCTAATCAGTGCCTGCCGATTAGTGATCTACTCATTTATGGGCTTGAGACATGATATGACCCATCTCGTGGATTACTGGGCAAAACTGGACTTTTGGGGAGTTTATTGGCTGTTGTGCTGTGCTGAAGCCTGCCACTTAGAGACTTTTTGTGAACATCTTGCCAGTAGTCAGCTGTGACAATCGTGGCTGTGGAGCTTTCAGACTTTTTTTCCTCTTTCAAGAAGCAATTCTCGTTGCCACTTGAAGAAGGTCAGTGGAAGTACAGTGTACAACATGTTCGTGGTGCTTTATTTCTTAAACTGTGCTAGGATTTCATCACTGTTGGGTTAGAAAAAAAAAAAAGAAAAAGTGCTTTGGTATGTATTATTTAGGGTACCCAACTAGTTTGTATGAACCTGTGCTGGTTTCCCAGACTAATTGCTTAGTGTTTCCCATTGTTTGCTCTATTTGATGACAGTGAAAATTGCACTGTTTCAAAACCTGGTTTTGCTTTCAAGCTGTTGTGTGTTAGGATGTGCAGACAAGGTGTAGGAGTGCATCTTGGGGCTCACTCAGTTCAGTGCTAAGAGCTTGATCCCACTTTGCGCTAAAAGCAGCAGGGATGCTCATATTTTTTGGGTGGAAAATCCCATGCATATAGATTGTATAGAAAGTAAGAATAACCTTGTAAAGTAGAGATATTCATAAATGCGCCAAAGATCCAAGGACTTTCCTGCCCTCTCGTGAAAAACAGTAGAGCCAGTATTTATGTTATGAAAAATCAGTCTCAGTTGCTGTGTCAGTGGTTTTATGGGAGGGAGAGCAGAAAGAAACAGGGTTATGCATGCAGCCTTCCTGGTTTTGCATAGTTTGGGTGTTGGGCATGGTGATAGTGCTATGTTAAGCAGCAGTGTTATGCTTCACATACGGTGATGCAGTCTCACCAGCTGTGGGAATCAAATTCACTTTTGAAATCATCCCCATACGTTGGATTATCAAGGCAATTGTGGGTGTGAGTGCCAGGTTAGGCTGCAACTCTAAGGTCTTAAGTATGGCAAACAGGATGGAGCATGACCTGCTTGAAAAGCTGCCCTCCAACTCCTACCAGAAGCAGATGGAAAGTTGCATGAGTGAAAGCATCTCCTAGGTTGTTAGGTGGAGGTGACCGCTATAGGAATGTGGTTGTCCTCATTAGGTCACTCAGGATAAAGCTTTATCTGGTAAAGGTCTGAACACATTTAAGCTTGAATTTTATTTATATTAAAGATTTTATAACTCTTTTTGAACAGAGTATATAGATTAGATTCCTTTTAAAGTCCTTTCAAGTGCTGAGATGACCTTAGAAAAGAGACAGAATCAGGCCCACTTGTACTGGGTAGGTGGAGGATTTTAATGACACATCCTCTAGAATAAACACTATTTTAGCTGTGCCAGGCGCAATGTCAGAAAGGTGAGATTTGTTTTGATGGCTCTAAGGCTGGTTCTTTGGTCTGTAATAGTTTTGTCCCACTCTGCACCTGACAGCGAATTCAGAAATGATTTAGTAACTTTGTATGTCAAGGTTTTTCAATGATTGCATTTATTCTAGATCCAAAACAGCTCACTCACTTGGACAAGTCACACTTACTATATCGTCACTCACATCGCTTTTTGTCAGTTTGAACAATAACTTGCTGATTTCAAACACTAACTCTCCCTCACCCCGAAATTTCTCAGAGAACAACTTGTTCAGAATATGGGATGCTAAATTTGCATCCTGTCAAGCCATGACAGCTTAGTAAAAACGGTTCTGCAGTATTACTTGTGAAAGCTTTTCAATTTCAAAGAAAAAAAAAAAAGGAACCTTAAAAAACTACTTAAACCAGCATGTTTTAATGTCATTTTGCCAGGCAAGGTGAGAACTGGTTACTTGTTTTAAAGACCTGACACTTTTACTTCCAGCAACAGAAATTCTGTTGCTTCTTAAGTGCAGAGATAGTTTCAGTTTCCTCTTGCTGTAAATCTGTTGCATTCTGTTGAGATTTTGGTTTTATGTAAAAACAAAATACACCCGATTTTCTGGCCAGATTGTAAAATTGCTTTCTTGGAGTTCAGTAACTGGAATTCAAAACACTCCAATATTTTCCACACAAAATGGAAAACTGTGTCCCTATAGAATGAAAACTGTGAAAGCAGCTGAGATGCTGGGTTTTCACAACTGCCATTGATGGTTGTGTTCCCTGTGATAAAACACAGCCAATGAGGGGGCATCCACTTCAATGTGATTTTAGCTGGAGGAGAGCAGATTAAAACAAAATATGTGGCACCATGGAAGGAGGACTTTGAAACAGTGTGAGGGAAAGAAAAGGGACAAGGAAGGCAAAAGGTTCTCACCACCTGAGAACTGCTGGCTGTATTTGTCTCGCTTGCCCAAGATGGGTGAACTAGCCAGTGTGGCAATGCTCTGCATCCACCTGCATTTGCCTTTCCGCCACCCTTTCCTGTGAGAATTGCATTTCTTGATACTTTGTCCTTTAGGAAATCCTTGTCCCCTTTATAGGAAGAGGTTTTATTCCATGAATCTGCTGCCAGGTCACCTCTTCACCAGGGCAGAGATTTCAGCTCTTTAACTTTGATGTGAATCAGCAATTGCAGTAGCCAAGGAACAGCAGTGCTTCAATCTGGGAAATCTAAGAGGAGGCATTCAGGCAGGTCTGTCCATCTACCTTGTTGCATGTTGTTTAATATATTTGTGTTTTCTTTTTGTGCAGGGCAATTAGATTTTGCTTTCACGTCCTTATAGCTCATCCTATTGATCATATTGACCACGGAGGAACATAGACTAGCCTTCTGGATCTACAGTTTTGCGTCTTCCGTAGCACTGATTCTGGAGAGCACATGCTGAACAGTCACCAGTCGCTGAAGAGAGCTTGACTTTTACTTTCTCTTTTTTTTTTCATGTGCCACCCACTCCAGGGTTTTTTCTTCATTGGGAGCTAACTAACTCATTAAGACTCAGCACCCAGTTGTCACTTGAGGAATGTACTGTGTCAAAGCCCTGCAGACTTCTGGATGTTTGTTGTTTTTTTTTTCCCTCCCCTTTTGCTTTCTCTTCCTACCTTTGGTTTTATTTATATATTTTGTTATTTTCTCTCCTCATCCACCTGGCTGTCACTGCTGCATCACGGATGGATGCAGATGACGGAGCACTACACATCTTACCGTGGACACCAGACTAGGTGCAGCAGCAAAGAACCCAGTTCCTGTGAGCTGCCCATATCCATTACTGAAGTGACATTTTACACAAAATGTGCCATTGCAGTGATATAAATATATTTTTTTTCCTTGAATGGATAATGAATTAGTATCTCCTCTGAAAGGTGCGTTTGTGTGCTTGTGTGCGTGTGTTTGTGTGCGAGTCACCTCCTGTGTAGAACTGCCTGTGAATGTGCCGACAGCATCTCTGGAGGCGCAGGAGTCCCCTGTCATAAGAGAGCAGGCCCATAGCTCGTGTCTGCCATGGTAGTGAGAACACACACAGTAAAAAGATGTTTAAATTTCTCTATCTACAAGTGTATTTTTTAGCTGCCACACTCACCTTAATGAGTAGTTCTACAGCCTGAAATGGGCAATTTCAAGTTAGTTTTGGAGTTACAAATTATGGGCTCCATAAGGGTGCTAAAGATATTCTGAAGTGTTATTTGTATTTAATGCCCAGATCAGATTCATGATCAAAAATGACCAGTTTCTCAATGGCAAGGTGATGGAGGCAACACCTGCATATCCATCCACTGGTAACCCTGAACCGAACTCTTAAGTAGCCTTTTTTATCTGCAAAAATAGGATTTTAAAGACTTGTTGAATGCAAACAAATATATGCAATTCTTCAGTTCACAGAAGCACCTTGCTCTGTGTGCAAGCTGTGAAAACTTCTCACGTAATAATCAAAACGATTCATTTGCTCTCAGCGAAGTTAAAGAACAATAATGCAACAAGACTTTTAAGGTTACAGTAGTTAGCAAGAGAGTTGTGAAATGTGTCCTGTTCCTCTTGCGGGTGATGAAGAGATGGTGAAGTGCAGTAGAAGGCACTCTTTCTTTCATGGCCTGAGGAGCAGTGCTGCAGTTTACTGGTACTACCTAGGAAAGCTTTCTGTGTTTGGAGAATTCACTGTCAGTTTGAGAAGAGCTGTGCCCCAGAGGCCAGGGAACATTACAGCCACTAGGGATTTGGAGCAGGGCAGGTGATGCTCCCCACTTGCTTCCTGGCCATGGGGAGCTAGCATCTGCCATGGTACCCGGTGCAGCACAGCCAACTGCCATGGGGCAGGGTTTCACTCCAGCAGACATGGGGGAGGCTGGATCCGCTATATTAAAAGCGAGTGCAGCCTTGACCAGAGCCGTAAAGTGATGTCCCAAAGTCGCTCCAACTTTCTCCTGTTTTCCCTCCTCATGGGCCCTCCAAGCTCACTGTTAACCGTAGCTGTGCCTGCAGGGTCATAAAAGGGCAGAGCCCGGGCTTGGTCCGGGTGCCAGGAAGTGCCAGCTGTGCCACTCAGCATGGCCCACAACAGACTGCTCCAGAGGGAGCTGGGGAGAAAAGGAAAGTGAGTGCCATGGCACTGCTTCCCCTGGGGAGAGGACAGGTCAGCACCAGGACTGTCTCGCACGAGAAGCCTCTGTTTGTTCAGAAATTGTCCTGCTTGCACACCACTGGTTGATGTTTGTCCAGGTTTCTTGCTGTACTAATTTTGTGATGGATCTTATGTATTAAAAATATATATGTATAAAATACAAGAGGCTGGTAAGTCACCAGTAAACGGGACTTAAAAAGCAGTATTTTTCTTTTATGTGACATTTTCATAACCAGAAAAAAAAAATCTGAAATACTAATCAGACAAATAAAAAGAGAGTGCATTTATTTTTTTGTATCACTGCAAGTATGTTGGAATATGCAAGGACTGTGGTTATAATTAGAATGTATGAGGCATATTATAATTTAGTTCATACTGAAAAAATCTAACAGCATTTCTTTGTTCGTGCATTTGAACGATCTCTGGGTTAGATATATAGATTTTTCTATTTTGTTTTAATTTGTAATTTCCCCTCCCCCCTCCATGACTTTTAGGTACACATAACTTATGTCATTTATTTATGGTCTTTTATACCTAGTTTGTAAAATTGTAAAATAGCAAACAATGCAAACATTTGCATTTGAAAATAATAAAGTAGTTGCTGTACAAACCTGAAACGGACTATTTCTGGTTACTGCACTCTTTAGTGTTTATCAAGAACAGATACAAGTTCAGAACTTGGAGTAATAATCCTGGTGTTTGCCCCAAAGGGATTAATTCTCTTCAGATTTCACAGGAACACATTCCCAAAGAACATTTAAACTTTGTAACTCCTGAGCTTACATTAAAGCACATTACTTTTGCTTGTTACCATCTGGATTGTTTTGTATGCCGAGTATTTGTAATGTGGGAAGGATGCTGCCGTCAGGCTCACCTTGTGAATGATATCAGTGCTTCTTCCTTGGAGACCAAGTAGCATCCATGGGCACTATGCCTGAGAAAAAAATGCAGGATTATAATGTTGTTTCACTGGCATGCCTAGGGCCAGCTGGGAATAGTTTCCGTCCTGTCTCCTGCTGTCTGGACCTTGCCTGGGGCCAGACTTCACCTCAGCAGAAATCCAGTTTTCAAAGCTTCCTTTGGGCCAGGGTTTTGCCTCTATTGGGGCGCTGTGACCTTGCTGCTGAGTTACTGCACTTGTTGCTCTGTGGCCTACGTCTGCATGATTCAGCGGGCTCGTGTTGGAGGCTCACAACCAGAGAGGGTAAAAGGAGCAGGAGAGAGGGAAGTGAGAAACTGAGGGACAAAATGTAACCCAGAGGTGTGAGGGTGTTGGGAGCAGCAGAAAATGGAGAGGGAAAGTTTCTGTGATGAGGGCTTCAAGCCAGAGACAAGTGAGTAGATATTGCGTAAAGGATATTGCTGTGTAATGGCAGCAGATGTATGGACACGTGCTGCGTATCCTGAGTGCCAAGAGTGTAATGTCCTGAACTGTCACTTCTTTACAATACTGCTGCTTAGTTTAGGATGTACAGGCTTTTTGGCACTTTAACTATGTAAATTACACATGTCCATGGTTCACAGGTACCACAGGAAGGATGGTGGCTCCTCTAGAAATTTTCAGAAGCTTTTGACTTGTCTATTTGGAAAATACTTTGAACCAAATTCTTGGAAAGATTCCAATGATGCCAAGGGAACTATATCATACAGTGCTGGTCCCAAGAAAGTCCCAATGGCACTGAGTTATTGCAATTGAAAAGCAAGTCCGCTGTGTCCTTTTGTACCTGGGAGAGCAAGCCAGCCCCACTGGGTGTTTCTCTGGTGCCTGTATTCAGCCAGTTAGTGTATTAAGAGAGAACATGTCATAGCTGGCAAAACAGATTCCATTTCACACACTCAAAGAAGTTTTACAAATTCTTTAGTTTTATTACAAAATGCAAGGAAAACCTTTAAATCATTTTACAAAAATACCATTTCAAAATGTTCAGTGAGGACTGAACACGTGGGTACTCTGCCTCCTCTTCCTGACTGCTCTTTTTCCCTTTTAGCTCCCAAATCTAAGAAATCGTTCCATCAAAACGTTCTACCCCCGTGGTTTAATTTTCTTCCAAGTATATGAATTTTACTGAAATATTTCCTTACCAAAAAGACATTTGTTCTCTCTCTGCCCCTTATTCTTTCCACATATATACAGGAGCATGAGGCAAGCAAATCTATTTACGTATAAAGCGTATATATTTGCATCTCAGTGGCAACGTGCATAGCTGCCCATGAGCTGCGCATGGAGTAATGTGAAGAGCAGACATGATTTATCTAGAGACATTGGGGCTCTTGTAGACAGGTCAAGGAAAACAAAATGGTTTTTGACAATTGGGAAGAAAAAAAATAAAAGCATGTTATGCTCTAAATCAACAACTTGATTAAAACTAGAGCTGCATTTGAGGCCTTGACCTTAGTTATTCTACCCTTTCCCTTGCAAGGAAGTACCCTTGGGCCATTGACTGATTCTCTGTTGAATAGGTTGCAGACCTCTGACATATCTTATTTCTGGCAATGGCCCTGAACATAATTCTTTGTTTACAGGAGCCTCCAAGAAAGTTACATGAATATGTAGACATTTTCTTCAAAAAATAAAAACAAAACCTAAAGCATTCCTTTCCAATCAGCTTAGTAAAATGTATTCTCCATGGGTGGATGGAGATAGTAGCTACATTAACTTACTTTTATACACATTTATATAGAGAGCAATTATATTCCAGTAATCTGCTGTGGATTACTAGCCTGTAACCAGACCAACAAAAGATAATGAAATCCTTGTTTTTATAGTGTTCTTGAATTTACTCATGATTCTGTTCCATAAACTCTTGTAATGAATTAAATGGGCTGAGGCATTCTGGCATTCAGTTTTTGAAGGCTGTTTTTAAAATACAAAAGAAGTGTGGGTCAGCAGAACAAAACCACCATCAGGAGCCCTGCTTTCCTCCCAGTTCTGCCCAGGTAACCTTCCTCCCATGGGGTCAATAACTAAGATCTCAGGGCCGGGCAATACAGGGCTGTTAGGCAATTACAGGTGCAGGTAGATGCTTACTGCCAACATTTTAATGATGCTTTAGAGCTGCTTAACCAAGGGGTGCAGCAGCTCACGTAATGAGATCCTGCTTCGCAGTTGGATTTTCAGCCTTGCATTAAGTGTCTTGCTGATGAAGCTCCCAAAACATCTCCATCATCATCATCGGGGGAGGGGAAATTTTTCGGAAGCCAACCATCACAGCAAGAAGCTGTGTAAGCTAAGAGAGGTTTGAAAGCTATTGAGGGACTTGCTGTGCTGCTCTGGTGCCTCTTGCCTTCGAGCCTGCTGCAGACCTTGTCCTAAACCAGTCTCGATGAGAGCTGCCCGAGGCAGGTTCTGCCCTTGCAGGCCCTTCTTCCTTCCTGCCTCTCGTGGCCTTCATAAGCAGTTCTCTCACAACAAACTGTCACTGGGAAGGTGGCTTTCCCAGAAACTATCTTTCTACTTGGGCCTTCTGTCACCCTGAGCAGGATCGAAGGTACATGAGGGTCCTTCAGTGAGAGAAGGGATTGATGCATGTCCCTTATCCTGGGAGATGCTCTCTGAGCTCCTGCTCATTTGAAGGCTGAGGGAAGGTCATCAGTTCTAGGACAGTATCAGCGTTTAGGCTGTTCAGCAGCTGTGGCTGGCCAGGTCATATATGCTTTGAAAATACAGACATATGGGGGCTGGGTGGGCATCAGAAATAGAGACTTAAATGGGTTTAAATCCAAAAGTCCCTTAAAAGCTCTGGCCTCAGATTTTCAGGAATGCTGTGGAGCTCGGTGCCATCTCATTGCCGTGTGTCAGTGGGATCACCAGGGAACTCAACATTTAAAAATTCAGCATGAGAATCCCCAGAGAAGCAAGGGAGTGCTCGGTGTATGTGCTTACCTCATTAATCTGTGCCTGAGAGCTTACCTGAGCCCTTCCAGCTGGCAGATTTGCACTATATGACAAGTATTAAAGAGCATTTACGTTCACCTTTCTGAAAGATTGGCTAAAAATCCCTTGGAAAAAAATGCTTCTGGAAAAAAATATGGGGTTAAAATGGACTGATGATGTTCTTCTTCACTTAAAGAGGCTGCTGGATTGATTGAAGCAGCATGATGTGAAAGGCCTGGCAAAGTGACATTGACAATAAGAAAATAAGGACAAATGAGTTGATCTGTTTCCATGGGTGGTATAAACTGATTTCACTGGGACTACCCTGACTTGCATCAGTTTAAGGATCTAGTCCTTAGCTACATGAAACTTTAGGTAATTTTTTTTTTTTTTTAACCAGGAAAATGTATTCCAAAGCGGTCATTTTGTCTATTATATCTTCTTTTTTTATGTGACCATTATTCATATTAGAAGTACATGTTTAACAATGCAAAATTATGGTATCCAGGGAGAGACAGGAAGGTTTCTGTAGAGTCCTCGAACTTCTCTTTGTCGGCTTTGTTTTCAGGTTCACATTCTGACAGCAGATGGGTTTTGTTTGGCCAAATGGTTAGGATTGCAACAAGTCCTCAGAGACCTGTTTTTGTCATTCTTGCAGACTCTCTCATAGTGCGCCATTAAGGCTGTTGAAAGGACAGGACATCCATGTATCATTCAACTATTTTTGATCTCTTGCACCCACAGATGGAAGAAAGAAATGGAAACCTAAACAGACCCCTCATGACATGAAATGAGTTGCTGACTGGGCTGATCCCTCACAGAGGGAAAGCAGCTTAATAAGCTGGTTCTTATTTTTAGAGCAGCATCAGTAGAGCAGTTGCTGTTGCGTCAAGATTCACCCACTATGATGCTGTTCCACACCACGTGCACTTTCCTGGTAGCTCCTGCTGCGCTGGGTGAGGCAGGGAGCGGGGCCCAGGCCAGTGGCTGCTGCTGG